TCTCCTGTAAACAACTTCAAGTGGGAGGGGAAATGGTTCCCAGAAGTAAATACTCGTAATGGCTAATTATTTGGGAGAGTGTGTATTTGACCGTCCTTTCACCTGTATCAGATAATTTATGAGGCACCTGCATGTGGGCCACTTCTTGTTTATTCTAGGTAATTAGCAATCAGTGTGATCAACTGATCTGGATCTGATCTTGTTGGGTTTGGGGTATTTGCATCAGAATGACAATAACTGATTCATGATCAGGAAACTAAAACTATATACACTTCTGTTATTACCTCAAAGACCGGTTTGAGGAATTTAAGCAATTCATATCATCATGACATTAGATGTTTTGGTTCAGTTCTGTGTTGGACCTATTCGATACACTATGTTTCAGGTGTACGAGGTCAGATAAAGTAGGTTGTATATATATATACAAATTATACAACAACGTCATGAACAGCAATTATGATTGTATGTTTCATTGGCTTTCTAGCATGCGGCTTCTTAATAGCAACTTCTTGTTCTTTGCATAAAACAACGTGTGACGAGTAGTGACTGACGAAGGGTACTACATACCATAGCCTACGAAGAGCTGACCAAGCTATAGACTTCAATCAGCACCCGTTTTTTTATGACTGTTTTTACAACTTAATCCGTCCTGCTTATCGGCTTCATGGCTGTGCTATTTATTGTTCTTACTTCCCACCTGGCCTCGTCCAATTATCTACCCCTTGTTATTCAAGTACACGATGTTTGTCACAGCATTCGATCATTCTAATCACTTGGTTTTTGTCACCGTTAGCTTGAACATGGTGTGAGAACCTACACAGAAACGTTGCTCTATGCAATTAACAAGAAGTTGCTATCAAAAAGACCGTATGCTTTTATTAGAAATTTTGCTGTCGCATTCCTGGGAAATTAGAGACAATTGTGAATGTCGAGTCACCACTGATTTTTTGAAATGATGTTAGTCACCCAGGATTCCTACAAAATATCGTGTTAAATTGTTTGAAAATATACCAGTCCTAATGATTCATTCATCCACATCTCTTGTTTACCTAACACTGCCGTTGCAATAAACAACCTATACATTGGATCAGTAAAAGAGCAAAACTTGCTTATGAAAATATCTCTTCAGGTAATGTGTTGAAACGGCTGGTTTGTGCACATAGATAGTGCTAAACATAATGTACCATTGCACAAATGAAATGCATAAAGTCAGTATTTTGAAGTCAGTGGTCCAACAAACTATAATGTCTACGTTCTATCGAAAAGGTATCAAAATTTTCTTGGATAAAATGGTGAATACGTTTGGAAAGAGCTACGATATATACCTGCAAAACGCAGAGGTTGTTCGAGATTTATACAGTATTGTGATTTAAACAGTATTTTTAAAATTTCCATTAATGTTTACATTTTTCATAATACACGACATAACAAAATGAAAATAGGATTAGCAAACAGGCCATATGGCCTATGTCAATGCTTCTCCGCATATAGTTCGTTATTATCTTGACTTAATTCTATGGAGCAGACATTAGGACATTAATGAATGAATCAAAACAAAAGAAAATAAAGAAAAGAAAATAAAGAACAAGACACCAAGTGCATTTTATGTTTATAGGTTGTTACTTGAATTCCGTAAAGCGGTTAGTTTCAGTTATATAATTCTGAACGGATTTTATAAGGTTTTCATTGTCTAAAGGAGATAAATCGTCATTGCCGTGAAGTATAGTATATATGCTGAGGTGGTTAAGGACAAAGTATCTCCTCGATGAATTTTCACATTGTTTTGTCACTGAACAACACGCTCCATGCTGTTGCTATCGAGATCATAATATATAGATCTTATCTATTTTATGATTTGTGTTGTAATACGAGTGTGAAAGGAAACGATTATTCATACAATAATATCATGAGAAAATATACCAATCACGAATTAAACGCATATGATTTGCACACCACCATATGATTTTAGAGCCTCACGTTAGTGACTTACATTCATATCATTCCTTCAACACATTTTCGCTTCATGGATGACAACGTCTATATTATATAGGATGCGGCGTTTCAGTATAGATTATTTATACCGTTGTCAAGCGAGACTGAGGTGCTGTAGCAGACTTATATATACATCAACATGGATTAAGCAAATCAAATCCGCGGACACAAGCCCTCCATCAACAGAGATGAAGGATATCTCATCCCATCTGCATACAATGAACTGATAGCAACAACTTAGCAGATCATTCCAGCCATGTATATTTTCTACCTCTTGGACATTTGACTTCCCCCTGTTGTCACTGCTTTATTACCCTATCCTATAGTTGTTGCTGTTAATCCCTTTGATGCACGCCTACATGTTGTTTTACTTATTCCCTGTAAAGTCTGATCTGTGCAAAGAGTGGGCACCTGCTCCTTTTGATAATTATGATTACCCCCTCTCTAATAGAGTTTTGTCATTTGCAATGAATTATAGTAACCCTTATCGTAGATTACCCAGCAACATATGTTTGCTTGGACACTGAGCCGTTGCCTACCTTTTCCTGTACCACATAAAATCTGCATGGTATGCCGGTTGATATTGTTATTTGAAATCGGCCGACCGTGCACACCTGTTGTTGCTGCAGGACAATGAATATTTCCGATACGACATTGTAAGTACTTGGGGGTGCAGACATATGACAGCCCCATAAACAACAAATTATCAGGTGTGAAAACAATTAGATTTTCTCGGGTATTGTCACTTTGAACAGTGATACATTGTCGCTTAGGTATTGTTTATCATCTCAGTTCGGTACGCTGGTCATGTTGAGCGTGTTGATGGAGGCATTTCTAGGAATATGTAAATGATGAAATATTGTTATTATGTATCTAGTATGTGTCCAAACATATTGAATGCATTTATATTTATAGGAAAAGACTGAGGGTTTTTCATGTTGTTCAGAATATATGCTAATAATAAGCTTTCAATGATTTGAATACATGAATTAATTCACCTAAACTATATACAATGTATATATAGAGAGATGATATATATCCCAGGGTAGAGATTGCAAGCGGAGTCTGTACTGGTAGAAACTTATTATATAGAATAACCTATGCAATTGCAATCTCTACCAGTGGAAGCTCCATTCTGATCCTACATATGATATTTTCATATGTGAAACCATAGTTTGTATCAACAAAATGGTCATGATTAGGACATTATCAATTAATGCAATTTGTATTAAAGTGAGATACATTGATATGGAATTATTTGAATTTCTTTACATTTTTCACATATTAAAATAACATGCATAACAAATGAATATTATTGTTCAGCAAATAAAGTGTTGTTTGCCTACAGAACAATCAGGGTTTCTACCAGTTGAATTGGAAATTGTACTGGTAGAATCGGATCTGACAGGTAGGATCCGATTTCAATCTCTACTAGTAGGATACTGGTAAAGACTGCGAAGTCTCTACTGGTAGAATCTCCGATCAGATCGCAATCTCAACCCTGACAAATATTTATATATATATATAGGACACATATTTCTCCGAGAGGATCTATCTCTGAAACATTTGGCAACAGGGCTCATGTCTAACATGAAATGACTGTAACTTCGTCCAGTGAAACTCATGTTATACAGAACGTGAATAAAAGATGTATAAAAAAAATCACCATATTATTTTTTTTTCATTTCGTCTTGATAAGATGTTAAAATATGCCTTGTAAGATTTGTGCGGCGATCTACTTCTGGGAACCATTATCCCCTCCAACTTGAAGTTGTTTACAGGAGAAAGTAACATCATTTAAATAAAGTCCATATTGAATTATCCTAAAATGGTGTCTAATATTTTTCAATTAAGATAATTCTGGTAGTGAAATAAAAAAAATTCTGCCAGAAATTTCTGCGGGAAAAAAAAATTCTGCCAGAAATTTCTGCGGTAAAAAAAAAATCTGCCAGAAATTTCTGCGGAAAAAAATTATTCTGCCAGTAATTTCTGCAGAAATGCATTTTCAGAGCCCATTTGTGAGCTTATGAACACGTGAGCGCACTGGCACATGAACTTTTTGAGTTCATCTCCTCGAGATCTTTCCAATGATATAAAATATGTCTTTGTAGCTCGCTTCCTTCTATGTGTCAAGTTAGGACTCGCTGGCCATTCCCAAGTTGTCCCACCCGGGTTATTTACATTAAAAGATCAAATACATCAGTAATAATATCTACTTCTTATTAACCCAAGGTTGTACTAATAAGCTTTCATTACGGATAAGAGACCTCAGCAAACCAGAAACAGGTCATCATGATAAAGGTTAGGAGACTACAGTAATATAGTAGAAACTAGTAACTGGAGAATATGATATATAATGAGATACTATAGCTAAACTAATAACTAGTCATTATAATAAGGGTATAATGTCCACATGATATTATCATTACTATTCCGATATATGATCAGTCGGTATCATGAGACTTGATAATTAGTCCCATCTACTGGTACACATCGTCTTACCTACTTGTGCAGTAACCTACATGTTTTTGTCTAGGCGGGAACCAGATGATCTACATGATCATAACTAACATATTACATAATTCTCGTCTTAAATTCTTGTGACTCACGAGGGGCTAGCATACAGCACTTGCAGATGGCATAAATCACCATTTAAAAAGTGCCTCTGAAGGCTACAGCCAAGAGAATGTCTTTTCACCGTGATCAATGATACTATTGTTTTAGACTCTACCTGTTGAAATTTCATAGGAATTGCGAGAGTATTGCATCTTGTCAGTGATGTAATGAAGACACTTAAATGCGTCATTATTCACTGGGTAATTAGAATATAGTTGTATTAGTGGATATCATTTACTGGGTAATCGCGGTTAAATGTATTGTAATTTCCTAAAAGGTATGACACACCTGTAGGCTTACTGATAACGTCATACAATCCAATGGAAGTTCTCACTAACTCTTTGTTTTACGTGTTGCGGACGTTAACGCACCGCATTGACAGAGGCACCTACCCGACCCTACGCTCTTCTCCCCCGTGTAGTATTGATCCATTGTCTTCAACCAGCCCACGTCGTCGTGGGAGTGGGCGACGATGTGCACGTTCAGCATGTCGTCGCGTACTGGATTACACAGCTGGAAGTAGACAGGTACGGGGTTAATTTACACATGTGCCTGTGGTGACAAGCATAGATTTCACGTTTCACATTTGACATTTAGAAAATGAAAGATACCAAAATATAAGTATTTATTCGCTAAATAGGATTGTAGTACACAATCACTACCATATATGTTTTTTCAGTGAACCTATTCTCTGCTTACATGAAGTATTGAATGCACAGCAGCATGTTCAGCCCCAGAGACTGGTGTGATGAGGACATTATAGACCGTCGCAGATACCAGGGAACACTCGCACGACACCCAGACACACGGCTGCCATTTGGGCGTAATGTCTATATTCAGTTCAACTAAAACAATTTTAGCTTTCTCATCAAGATGTCTGGTATATAAATGAAACGTTATATTCTTAATGGACTGACTACGGCAGAGGGAGATCTAGAGCTATTCGAGACGACCCTTCTCCAGATTAAAACGTGACTCGTGTACTTCTTAATTTGGCCCGCGAGTCACGTTAAGTCTATATTCAGTTAAAAGGCATTGGAACCAAAGTGATTGATGATATGAAAATATGTAATTGACAGGGGTGAGTGAGTGAACTGAGTTTAGCGTTGCTTCAAGCAGTGTATTGTTCTTTTTAGTTCATGTCACGTCGTCTTATTGCGAAGATGGAAAGCTTCCCACCATATGTGATTGTGTAGTCCCAAGTAATTAAGCCATAGGCCTTATATACTACATGCAAAACTTCAGCGACACCATATATACATATTATACCATATTTGGCAATTCGGGTACACGCAATATACATATTATACCATATTTGGCTATTCAGGGACATCCTATATACTATATTTGAAAATTCAGGGACACGCTATAGACTATGTTTGAAAATTCAGGGACAAGTATTCTACGAGTGTTGGAAACAGCAAATGACAGTGGTGTTGTGTGGTTACTACATGTGAGTGGTGCCTCTCTCAAAAACTGAGTTATCTTTCCTTGGCAACCACTACGAAAAAGTATGATATGCACATACTGGACGAAATGTATCTACTCTCGCTTAATACACAGGCCGGCTTTTCACGCCAAGGTTGTTCCTGTGGATCGGCTTTAACAGTCTGGCATATCGTGACTGACAACATACACATTTAATCTTCATGACACAATGTTCAAACAAAACTCAGATTTCCCTTTCCCTTGATCAATAAAAATATTACTTCCTATAATTAAAACCGGCGCATGGAAATAGTGGCGCTAATAGTCATAATTGTTGCGTTGCAATAATGTGGCCGTCATATGATTAATAAAGATTAATCATATCAGCCCGTGAGAGACAGTTACAGAAGAAGCCATTTCCTTAATGATCTACAAATGAGGAACAATTATACCATTATCGGTGCTGGAAGTACTGCGGGCGGAATCGCTGCGGACGATACGGTTACAGCTTACATTAGCACCATCTCCAGGAGATGGGGAGGCATGGAATTGAAGGGGGTGAATGGTGTAGTGTTAGTAGGGTGGGGGTTGGGGGGAATGTACGATAGTTGTACAACACTACCTTGTATCAACTTGGCCAAACAGCAGCTTCAATCGATGTTTATTAATTTCACTTATGAAGCTAAGGGCACTTTCCTAGCAAAATAAATACATTTCTGAGAGTTCCAATGCCTTTAATTTAACTTTGTTAACATTTTGAATGTTGTAGAAATAGTCAGGTACTTTTCATCACATTCGCCACAGCGTTGTTCTAAACACTCTGCGGTGTATCTAGGGTGTATTCGTACACCATTCTGACCGGATTGTCTTGATTCAGAAACAGATCCTACAGAAGCCAGTGTTCAGTTTGCTGTATAGTTACATGTATTCCAAACTGGTGCAGCTGTTATAACAATCAGGCAACAGATAGATATTCCTCGCATACACGACGTGAATACAGGCGATTGACCATTTATATATTCATAATTATGTATTAATACATCAAATGTATAATGACTCCTATTACTTTCTGGTGTTGAATCCCTTTTCCAGAATTGCCTTTTCCAGCGCATGCCAAGCTCATAAATTGAACGTTTACACCGTGAGATCTTTTGTCACAAGGAAACTGTCAATAGAGGGGGTTTGTGACGGACACTAATCACCATGGAGCCACACGAATCTCTGATGTGTATATATTGCCCATTCCACAATCTAAAGAAGTTTTCTAACATAATGTCATTATAAAACCATTAACGCTTCAGTAACACATTATCCAACGGCAGGGCTATCTTCAATCGGTTAAGGAATGTCAACAACATCGATCGATAAGTATATACTTACATCAGGATTGCATGTTCCAGTTAACTCTTGCTTTGTTGGCAAATCTCGACTTTGGAAATGTTTCAGAGGAATATAAGATTTCCGCCCAGATCGACCCCTGGCACCCCAATACATGATGACAACTTGTACCGCGACGACCAGCAACGCTGCATACAAACATCGACGTATGTGTAGACGCATCCTGCACTCGCCATCGACACCAAGCAGTCCAGTTGTTTCTTGACTCCACACTGAAACTATCAACAAGCGCCTATAAGCTTAAACACAACGTAGATGTGCTTGGTAAAGCAGCATGCTGGCGAGGGGGTTTTGTCAACAGCACAATACAGCTTTCCCTCGCAGCCTACCGCCCTAATTCTCCCCGACGGCTGGTTATATAGCCCCACCACATAAAATCTATTGCCCGCTTAATTGGCCTACAGTAAACCGGTTACAACTACGATCCACTAGTCATCCAGCAGTAATCCTTTCCGCTGCCTGATGTGCTGTGTGTTAATCTAGTATAATGATTCGCCAATTCAATACCTGTTAATAAGATAATAACCATTCAAGATTATAGCAAAACCACATTCAGAAATACCGTCAGCGTGACAAGCCTGCTCTATGTGCAGAATTATATTTGAATATGGCGAGTATCGATGGAACTATATTCTCGTACCTTATTACATCAAGTTCATTAGATGAGAACATTCTGTTTTTCTCGCTAATTAAAACACAGCTGTCATGCCACACTCTATTGTGTAAATGATCCATTAATATCCACAAACGGACACTTTGGTCGTCAATTATTCATGCTTCCAGTATCTGGACCGCACATTCCAATTAATGTACAACTGTATAATTGGAATTGACTGTTTCTCACTCAAGTGAATGATTTCAAGTTAACGGGAAAAGACGTGTCGCCAGCAGGGCCCGAACGAAATCGTAAAGATTTTTGTAAAACATTTGGAAAAGTTCAGCCAGCTATGGTGTATGTACTAGTGCAGCAACTGCTTACATCATATACCCATGTGTGACCCAGTGACGACCCGCGCTCTATACACATTACAACAGAGTTAGAATCATTCCTTGCAAATATTTTCAACAGAAGTCTAACAGCAGGAATGCATGAAAGTTGAAGAAAGTTGGGAATTTGTGGGGAATTTGTTGGACTTTTTCAAGTCGACTCGTCAATGAGGGCTGCCGCGACATGGCGTACACAGCCGTTTCTAATTGACGAACCACCAGTTATTCGTATGTCCTAACTTCATAACCCCCACGAACGCTGTTCCTGTGTCTGGTGAGCTGATGTCGCGGAACGGGTGTTCCTGCATTCAATGTATATATTATTATTCATGAATTCACGATGAAAGATACTGTAACAAACTCTCTGGAATCACCACGATTATTTTTAAAGCCAATAACGGTCTTTGATGTTTTACTGTCTGTATGTATTTTGTATTTTTTACATTTAGAATATCCTTGCTTGCATATATTTCATTTTATCAAATTCTGAGTCACAGTTTTAATGATCGGTTACACATAATTCAATGAGTTTTATTCGTAAAGATGAACTAGAAAGCTGTGAGTGTGCGAGACTGTGCTTCAGGCAAACGAATTGAATATTTATCTGTGTTGGCAGCGTGGAAGCTAGTGCATATGACATCGGAATACAAAACGAACTCGGGACATATTCGGCACTATGAACAGAGGAGAAACTAAACTCAAAGTGACCGAAGCTATGATTATGGAGATGGGATACACTGTGTGGGTTGTCGTGATTAGCAAGGATACATAACGCACTGCGGATCGCATGCAATACGAAACAGTGAAATTGACAGTTCTCCTCACATTGCTATTTACAACGTCACTCATATGTCAAGGTTCCGTCTCTGGTTGTTGTATTTACATAGTGTAACCGCATCCCTCCTTAACAGGGTTCTGGGAACTGCCTTGGCAATTAAGGGTTCCCTTTAAGGAGTTGAAACAGTTTGACAACTCTGTTTACTGGGCTATTGAAATACGGTTTGCTAAAAGATGAATGGCGAGGATTTGTTTTACAAATGAAGACTACAATAGCAGAAGATACATCGACCTGTCGTCGTGTTTCAATCGCGCGGTTGTATATCTGGATAGATTGGCAACAGCACACATCGTTCTAGGTTTCAATCGGGAATTTCAACATACAGTGACCATTCGTATGGCGTCCAAGGTAACTTATATGGCGTCCAAGGTAACTTATATGGCGTCCAAGGTAACTTTCGGTTGAGATATCTTGGCCACATTGTGACATCAGAACAAAAGCGTCTCTAATGAAAACCCGTTAACCCGTACAGTAACTTCGGCGAGTTCGTTAGTGGTGGAGCTTGTCCAGACAGACGGGTGAGTGAGTGAGTGAGTTTAGTTTTACGCCGCACTCGGCAATATTCCAGCTATATGGCGGCGGTCTGTAAATAATCGAGTCTGGACCAGACAATCCAGTGATCAATATTATGAACATCGATCTGCGTAAGTAGGAACCGATGACATGTGTCAACCAAGTCAGCGAGTCTGACCACCCGATCACGTTAGTCGCCTCATACGACAAGCATAGTCGCCTTTTGTGGCAAGCATGGGTTGCTGAAGACCTATTCTACCCCAGATCTTCACGGGTCTCCAGATAGACGGGACTCACACTACCACACTTTATTTTGTACATTTGCCAAAAGCTTACGACATGTTCTATAATTTGAAAACAAAAACAAGTGCGTTCTGTCCAGACGAAATAACACATATTTGTTAACAAGCATATCAATACTGTCTAGCCGAGGTATATTTATTTGTCAAAGTCACCTACTTTCGGAAATGTGCGATTGTTATGCATTCATGTCTGCACGTGTTATGCACGCTGCCTGGTCGCTGTTTGATGATTGTGTATGTTCTATCCCCACTGGGGGGGAACATTTATAACATTTAGTTTTCTCTGTGGGGAATATAACAACATGATATTAGTCTGATTGCATCAAATGTCAGCTATGTCGGCCGCTACCACTAAACAGCTGACAGCCATTGGAACAGAGTATTCCTCGCTATGCTTGAACTCGGCTGGGACATAACCATTAATGACGACTCTGTTGGTGAGGGCAGGGTTGACTAATAGGATAGAAGCAGTATTGTGTTAAAGACAGGCGAATATACAAAACATTATTTTTACTCAAACGTTGGGTTTTCTGTAAATATTACCTAGCTGTGACGACAGATGGTAGGTGGACGAATTTTGCTTCAACAACCTTCACGTCATCTAAGATGACACATCACAAAATTTCCTTTGCTCTGCAGTCAAACTTTGTACGAACGTAAAGTCATCGTAGAACAGGTTTAAAGGTCTCACCTGATTTGTATTGGACAAATTGAATTCCTTTTTCTCCAGGCACTGATCACAAGATGACAGCTTCTCATTCACCTCTCTATGACCTTAAACAACAGATGTAGACCATTCGTTCTGACAATTAAACAATAACGCACCCGACAGTCGTATACTACTCGATAAGCGATTCATACAGGCAATCTATTCGCGTAGCATTGCAGTTTCCTTAAAACTGGTTCATGTCGCTGCATAGACGAAGCCTAGTTCAGTAATGCCGAGCCTGGTGTATCTGAGAAGTGCGACAACAATCATGTGAATCATGTGTCTATATCCTGTTGTATCTGATTACTTCCGCTACCAAACCATTCCGGGAATAATCAGGAAGGCGGACTGTGGTCTCTCTGGCATTAAATCATATCAACTTTCATAATTAGTCTAAACCATTGTCACATCATTGACATGAAACTTTACGATTATTACACTTCGATCGATGCCTATTTCATCAGATGAGTGATTGCGCAAGGCGTCTAGTTTCCCAGATAGAGATCACACTGCACATTGATTTCGGTCGAATGGAATATTACAAAACATAACACACGAGGGCGTGATGGCGGTTGTTTTTAATATAGAAGTGATTTGTGAAAAATTAGTACAAATGTACTTAGTAATTAAGCGCTGGTAAAGAGCGGTTGTATACGTGCTTAGTGTACAGTTTACTTGTACAGTATCTTTAGTTGTTTCCAATATTACTGGTCAACGACTCAGCTACAAATGTTTGATAATCATTGTATTACATCCACCTCGAAGGTAACGTGAAAATTCGGCAATATTGTGAACCCATTATACCTTACACCAATGCCGTATATTATGTTGGTCTAATAAACACACTACTGTGAAATGATGCCATGTTCCGTTATTTGTGTTTATGAGTATATCATATCGCCAGATATAAGTTGCATTCATATGTGCGTATGAGCTACGTACATAGACGCCGTTCATGTAGCAATGTGCCGTAAGAATTTATAGTACGGATTTGATAACAAACATTCTGTCTAGATGAGCGTTACAGCTTACTTCTTACTTTTATTTCTTTTTGCTCCGAATACTTCACTTCACTTAATTTCATTTCACTTCAGCTCAGGTCACTTCAGTTCAGTTCACTTTTCAAGTGTACTTTAAGTTTTCTTCATCTTTCCCCTGTGACCGCTGAATCACGTACGTGGCTGATGTGTCTAAACCGCACTGTACGTGACCGGTGTGACCTCCACCCTCTCCTGATACTAATTGGTAGTATTGAGGTCGGGACATGTGAGACACACAACATAGCACAACCACCCACCGACCACACCCCCGGCGGGGCCTAATGGTTACAGTGCTAGCTTGACACGCACCAGGTCTTTGTTCAATACCAACTGAGCTATGTCAAACCTGAGGTCACACAGCGGGTGCTACGGCGCTATCTTTTTCTCAAAAGAAAAGTTACTCACACCTTCCTGACATGTGTTTTGTGAAACAAATGATTTAATCTGTTGTCTTGCTGCTGGAGACACGTCATCACGATCGATTCGAATGGACTCAGTCCTGCTGTGATCAAAGCGGTTCCGTTCGGTTATTCAGTGGTTTGGTTTTTGAAACTGAAGATGTCACAGCGACCTTGACCTGTATATGAGACACGCGAGTATTTTGTGAAATGGAGCGCACGAGCGAGAGCCTTGGCCACAGCTATAGGATATTGTATGAAACACTGTACCGTCTCACATTCTCACGAGATTTCCACATTTGGACATCCTGTCCATCGATTTGTTAAAATAATCCCCCAAAGTCCAAAATCATGAGAACGCGACCTTTTCCAGAATTCCGTACACAGCGGGTAAATTAAATGCAAAATGATACTAATAAACCACATACATTGGCGTGGCACGATACAGCATTTTCAGCTGGAATATCAGACTGATTAACATCGGTGGCACTAATTGCTAGGCCATGTAAATCTCTAGGGTGCCGGAATTAAACGTCAGCAGGGTTTGGGTACGTAGAGGGAATAGTGTGTGTTGGGGATGGTGTGTGTTGGGAATAGTGTGTGTTGGGGATGGTGTGTGTTGGGAATAGTGTGTGTTGGGGATAGTGTGTGTTGGGGATGGTGTGTGTTGGGGATAGTGTGTGTTGGGGATGGTGTGTGTTGTGGAAAGTGTGTGTTGGGGATGGTGTGTGTTGGGAATAGGTGTGTGAGGGGATGTGTGTGTTGGGAATGGTGTGTGTTGGGAATAGTGGTGTGTGGGGAATAGGGATGTGTGTGTGTTGGGAATAGTGTGTGTTGGGGATGGTGTGTGCGTTGGGGAATTGGGGATGGTGTGTGTTGGGGGAATGGTGTGTGTTGGGAATAGTGTGTGTTGGTGTTGGGGATGGTGTGTGTTGGGAACATGATGTGTGTGTGTTGGGGATGGTGTGTTTGGGGGATGGTGGTGTGTGTTGGGGGAATAGTGTGTGTTGGGGGATAGTGTGTTGGGATGATAGTGTGTGTTAGGGATGATGGTGTGTGTGGGAATTGTGTGTTGGGGATAGTGTGTGTGGGATAGGGGATGGTGTGTGTTGGGGAATAGTGTGTGTTGGAATGGTGTGTGTTGGGAGGTGTGTGTGTTAGGGAGGTGAATAGTGTGTGTTGGGGGTGTTAGGAATAGTGTGTGTTAGTTGGGGATAATGTGTAGTGTATTTGGGGATAGTGTGTTGAGAATAGTGTGTGTTGGGAATAGTGTGTGTTGGGAGATAGTGTGTGGAAATAGTGTGTTAGGAATTGTGTGTTAGGAGTGTTGGGGAATGGTGTGTGTTGGGAATAGTGTGTGTTAGGAATGTGTGTTGGGAATAGTGTGTGTAGTGAATAGTGAATATGGTGTGTGTAGGGGATGGTGTGTGTAGGGATGTGTGTGTGGAATAGTGGGTGTGTTGGGTGTGTGTGTAGGGGGTGAGTGTGTGTGTGTGGGGATGGTGTGTGTAGGGATGGTGTGTGTTGGGGATGGTGTGTGTTGGGGGGGTGTGTTGGGTGTGTGTGTAGGGGATGGTGTGTGTATGGGATGGTGTGTTGGGGATTGTGTGTTTGGGATGGTGGTGTGTGTAGAGGATGGTGTGTAGGGGATGGTGTGTGTTGGGGATAGTTTGTGTTGGGGATAGTGGTGTGTGTTGGGGATGGTGGTGTGTGTTGGGGATGGTGGTGTGTGTTGGGGATGGTGGTGTGTGTAGGGGATGGTGTGTAGGGGGTGGTGGTGTAAGGGGTTGGGAGTGTTGGGGATACGTTTGACTATTGTCTTTGCAGACTTAACATTACCGAATACCTTCCTGTACATCAACATCGTGACTGAACTAACAAAACCTCAATTCGTGACTCCCCATTTGAACTGTCTGTCACTTGTAACTCTGTGTAGACAGATCCTAATCATTGCTAATACAACCGTCATGAACTGGAAACTCTGGACCAGGACATTTAGCATCATCAGGCTTGCGCCTCATCAATCTAATGAATAGTGTATGCGTGTGTATGTGTGCTCGCGCGCGCGATGGTGTGTATGATGAGAGCCGTGCGTGTGCATGCAATGACGTGTGGGACTGGAGGGCGACGGTGTGTTCTCACAACATTTCTCATAAATCCAGAAAACCAGGCTGAAGTTTCACATGAGCCCTCTCGTCAAACAAGCGGGCTGCCCCGCTGACACCAAGACGGGTTTATGTCGAGTAGGCACCCACAGACTTCACAAATAATTGTCATTTTCCATGCCTCACAGAATCGTTTGTTTCTCCTGCCCCGTTTAGCCCCTTAAACCTTATACCACTAGACATGTCCTTTTTCAAACATCTGGTCAGTGATCAGTGACAAAATCGGAGTTGTAGCGGTTCACTGCGATGAAGTCAACAAGTATTGTGTTCAGTGACACAATGTACTAGGGTAATTGCTTGAGGCTGAGAACTGGACCATTTCGGCCTGTTCTGTCGGGATGTATTTGTTCTGCTGCAATAGTTGAAGGTAGTAGGCTTGCCCTCATCATTCATAACTTTCTGGAGCTACAACAACATGTTGATGTGTTTTGTGTCGTGTATGTGTGATAATACAAATATATAACGCGATGTGACGTTAGTAACAGAATTGTTTATCATTTAATTATTTCCTAGTGCACGTTTATCTGTTGTATGATGACATGTGTGCATACAGACACTTGAGTCTCGGTGAAGTTGGTGCATACCATAGTATGCCTGAAGATAGATGCTCATTACCTCACTCAATGGAGTTTCTGTTTTAGCCTGGCTTAGCAGGCAGCTGGGATATGGCCTAGATAATGACGTTAATCGACAGTATGATTGACATAAATATCGGAATTCAAAGTTGCTTGAGGTAGGTGTAAATACCACACCGGTCACTGACGCTGTGACAAACCAAAGGTCTTAATCAGCCGAACCTGGGATCTACAACCACAACCAGCAGATCCATTGCCACAGCAGCACCATCCCCGACACACACGTCCCCACGGACTACAGTTGCTGATAACGTATGCCACATAGTGACGGTGTGAATAATGCAGGCTATGCAACAACGTTTGACGACACTGTGTCGGGGCGACGTGTTTAGCCAGTCGCCTACAGCGTCTACTGGGTCTGCTCACAGTTGTTCTCTCCATGATAGTGGCATTCAGAACACCGAGACATTGACCTACGAATACACACCCTGTGAAATAAAGATTCCTGTCACGCGGAACTTTGTTAATCGTTCCTTGTTGTGTGTCTGTAACGTTTGTTGGTTTGATCTTGTTATATCACGGTCAAATTGAAATAACTGAATCGCAGGCATAACCAGTGTTTCATAGCTCGAACGAAATATTTAGTTGCCTCTTGCGAAAAGCGTACTGATAGCTTACCGTGAATCTTAACTTCGTCGGAATATCCACTTAGGAGATATATGAATGAACTGTATTTTAACAATGTGGCCAACTTGCAACTATATCACAGCTATACCACAATACACGTGCATGAAGAAACACGTGGTTGATAGCACGAACACCGACCAGCACCTTTAGGGCACGCAGCTGTAAAATCGGTCCAACATGATTATGATCCTAGTTTGGATGAAGCATGAGTTACCGGGACATCTTCTTTCTGTAACGAATTCCCACTGAGCAACTCGAGAAGAAATCTTTCAACATCAACATTCAAACACCACAGCTTCACGGCGATCATTTGATTTTCAGTTATCCTCCTTCAGAGGCATCATGGCCATGGGCTGTATGTGACCCTGGCATTCTGTAACACCCATCGGGAATATCCCCAGACCCTTTGTGTATGGACATCAGTAGACGCCACATCAATAACCCGTCTCGAAACGGACTCCACAACACAAACGACACCAGTTTGTAAACTATTCATGCGTGACATGCCTTTTCTTCTCACCCACGACGGATTTAGCTAATCATTGGAAGAGCCTGAATACACCACGGACGATGAGTGTCTCATCAATAAGTCCGCTCTAGGGGATGTAGTCGTCCGTTTATGTGTAACTAAACTTCGATGATTAGATTGTTGAATTTGCAGTTTCTGTGACGTAAACGTCTTAATGACAAGCGTATTATTTGCATTCTGCATTTAAAGAAATACTAGTACGTCTGATGAATTAATGTCCATCACTGATATCCTCCATCAACCAGCATCGGAATCATGGAATCGATAGTTGATGAGATCATTAGACTATGGCATGTAGATGGAGACAGTTATACTGAACCAAACATACTCAACAATATACACAGGTCACGTAACTGACACCCTTCGTAAGTGGTTGAACAACGTCTAAAGCGTTTCCAACGATATAGCGGCCCACTTCCTTGAGCAAGATTGTGTCCCTTGGGTGTGTCACAGACTTTTGGTTCTAATCCCGGTTTGACCTAATTAAGTTTCAACGCTTCTCAGCACCATTTTCCCGTCTTGTGGGTTTCGCCGGCGCGGTGAACGTCTAAACCCAGCATTAATTCGGGTTTTTCTCACACATCGCCGTACTAAGTACGACAGTGTCCAGGGAGGTGTTGAATCTCTCTACCGCACTCACTGACATACGATTGTGTCACTGGTTTCCTCTACACATTCAGTTCTTTTCATATACGCACGATTTGGTTTACATGGAGGAGATCCCTATTCCTTACAGTCAACTTGGTTTACACAACATCATGTATTCTGATGTTTGAAAACGGTGTAAGTATCTATACAGAAACATCGCTGTTGTACAGTGCAGAAGTTGATCATCCATAAAGACGTGTCATTCCTATCATATGGTGTACCCAATAACCGCTGAAACTATTTTCAATAAGATTCATTAAATGGTTGTTTAAGTTAAATCTGTACATAAACCTATACACTCTCCCTTCACAGTGGGTAAAAGGCAAAGTGTGACACTTAGGCAGCGCACAGAAATTTGTATTTGTCAGAAAAGTTTAATTGCAATACGGTATTGTTCAGGTTTAAACGATACATCCGTTCACGGGGGAGGTGATGAATGTCAGTCTTGTTGGGCATGCAACCTCGTTCTTTGTGTGGAAGAAGGCTGCGGAAACAGCCTGTCATCCACGGAGAAGTCGGTGTATTTGAGTGGAGTAAGAAACGCGGAGCTGCGTCTGTACGCGACATCACTACATCACTACGGCACACGTACCGCCTCCACGCCACATGGCCAGTCAGACGCCCCCTGTCAATACTCGTACAAAAAAGTCATCTGTGTCCAAACTGCCATAAAACAAGCATGTTACACAATCTTGATAGCCAGAATTCTCTGTGACCATTTTCCACATACCCTGGGAATATTCTGTCCAAAACAATCGACTGTAACGAAACATCTTTCAACTGGTGATATGGTTGTCTGTCGAAATTTCTTCACACTCAGTAACTGATGAGCGATTTATTACTGAGATTGTGTGAAATGAGTTTTTTCCCCGAAAACGATTGCAGCCATAACACGGCGAGACACCAGGGCACGCCCATACACGGATTCGATCCAGGGTCTGTGCCGGGAGCGACCAAAGCATGTACAACTTGGCTACCCCATGGCACCTTCACTGCTTACAGAATTATTAGTGCCTGTTTCAGTAAAGACACTGAAGATTTTCTATACCAACATTAGCTACAAATGTGGTGTGTGACGAATAAGGTAGCTGCCCCCGATAGTCCCTATATTAAACATTATCTTCATACTAAAACAAATTCTTCATCAGTTGGATATTGTGTAAGACAGAGGTCTTTACATGGGTATGTATATGCCTGTTGACCAGTCCTATTCTTTCTAAAATATATTTTGTTGAAGCCACATTGGCATGATGTTAATCCATACTCTGGATCACCATGATTAGGAAACTCGTGGAGTGAAAGGATATATCCGGTGTGTGACAGCGGACTTTCACTGTTACATGTGTTACGCCGTTGTGTTTTGTTTTCAGGTTTTTTACAGCTGTCATGCAGTACTGAAAGAAGAGAAGCAAAGATCTAGCTTTCGCCAAGACAAAGAGAGTGCTAATTATTAATTTCAACGTCCCATATCGACTTTCCCACGCCTCGGAATTAGAACAGCACTCATTGACTGAAACAGTTGTTTTACACAAATCTACATGAATGTATAGTGCATGAAACGATGACATTCACTCTCCCATGTATTGATGTTTTACTGCTAATGGACCAACCGTCATGCGTGACCGGCACTGTGTACGTGTCGGGTGGGATTCCTTCATCTCTGACGGGTGCAGGCGTTTACATATTTCATGGCGAACAAACACTTCAAGCACTATCAAACACTTTTAAGTACTTTGTGCTGTATGCTCCGTCAGACACAATGCACTGGTAAGAAGTAATACTCATTCCATCAAACAACGCACTGACGTAACCTGATACTCACTCCACCAAGCACAACTGACATGACCTGATACTCCCTCTGTCAGACACCACGTACTAACATGACCTAACAATTACTCCATCAGACACAACCAACCTGACCTGATACTCACTACATCATCAGACACAACCAACCTGACCTGATACTCACTACATCAGACACAACCAACCTGACCTGATACTCACTACATCAGACACAACTAACCTGACCTGATACTCACTACATCAGACACAATGTACTAACCTGACCTGATACTCACTACATCAGACACAATGTACTAACCTGACCTGATACTCACTACATCAGACACAATGTACTAACCTGACCTGATACTCACTACATCAGACACAACCTACCTGACCTGATACTCACTACATCAGACACAATGTACTAACCTGACCTGATACTCACTACATCAGACACAATGTAACCTGACCTGATACTCACTACATCAGACACAATGTACTAACCTGACCTGATACTCACTACATCACAATGCACTAACCTGACCTGATACTCACTCCATCAGACACAACTAACCTGACCTGATACTCACTACATCAGACACAACTAACCTGACCTGATACTCACTACATCCGACACAATGCACTGACATGACCTGATACTCACTCCATCAGACACAACAATGTAACCACTGACATGACCTGATACTCACTCCATCAGACACAACCACTGGCTGACCTGATTCTCACTACATCAGACACAAGGCACTGACATGACCTGATACTCACTCATCAGACACAAAGCACTGACATGACCTGATACTCACTCCATCAGACACAAGGCACTGACATGACCTGATACTCACTACATCAGACACAAGGCACTGGCATGACCTGATACTCACTGATCAGACACAAGGCACTGACATGACCTGATACTCACTCATCAGACACAACTGACATGACCTGATACTCACTCCATCAGACACAAAGCACTGAGGCCTTCAGTTTACCATCAGTATGTGCGGCTGTGTATATAAATGTAGATCTGAACATTATTGCCAATTTTCAGACAGCACGAACAAACAATTATCATTATATATTGATATACATACATTACCACAGGCCATCAGACAGTTATGGAAACAGGTGGTATAATGAAATGGATTGTTGGAGAAACTGCTTCTCGTCTAGCGTGAAGCACATGAATCAATTCACTGATGGTGGACGTGTATTCCCATTGTGGGAATATCACAGCGGCACTGCCAGTTCATTCACTCATCATACATACATAGACGTGTTAGATGAATACAAACATGTCAGCTACTAGTTGGGACATTAAATCGCTCATATACAGCTTGCTGCCTGTTACTTTATCACTTTATATATTCAAGTCTCCGTATCCAGAGGATTCATTTACAAAATCATCATATGCCACCACGAACTGGCTGTGTAGAGGGTAAGGTGTTTGTCCATCACACTTCAGACCGAGTTTCACACTCGATTCCAAAGATGAGGATAACAAGGACATCGGGTGTGTGCCTGCCGTGTCATAGATACAATACTGCTGAGTTAACAAAGAGAATAACAAGGACATCGGATGTTTCCATGTAACATAGATACAACATTGCTGAGTTAGTCTAGGGGATAACAAGACAATCGGATGTTTCCATGTAACATAGTTACAACATTGCTGAGTTAGTCTAGGGGATAACAAGACAATCGGATGTTTCCATGTAACATAGTTACAACATTGCTGAGTTAGTCTAGGGGATAACAAGACAATCGGATGGTTCCTTGTGACATAGTTACAATACTACTGAGTTAGTCTAGGGATAACAAGAAGATCGGATGTTTCCTTGTGACATAGATACAATATTACTGCGTTAGTCTAGAGGATAACAAGAACATCCGATGTGTTCCTAACAGAAGAAATTGTTCTATATACTGGGGTTTCGGGAGATGCATTGCCATATATACATGAAATTAGTGATGTTTTTCCACAGTGCATTCTAATTATACCCCAGTGCTGGCTCTACATGCTATGTATGTG